ACTCAGGAGCACGTCCCACTTACTAACTTGGTGCAACTCGCCAGAAGTAGTTAAGTTTATTATATATATATATATATATATATATATATAATGTGGGCTCAAGCTCTCAGATGTTAGCAAGAAGTTGGGAGGGGAGGGACTTGATGAGAGAAATACATTAGAAAATACAAAGCAAAACTTCATTTCCACTCAATGCAGATGTTAGTAATATAGCTCTTCTGTGAACCGTATATTTCTCTTAGGTACATTATGCAGTGTTTATTGCAAAATGTATTCCATCTTTGAGAGGAGATATTTGGGATACGCAGTGGTAATGTATTGTGAAAAGAGGAAAATCGTGAATCCCTTTCCTTTCTGGATATCCTAATTATCCTTAAACTTTCTGGTAGCCTAATAAGTTATAATGCTTGCATATTCAAAAATTGCCCTGATCTGTGTTATGAACCTCCTCCATGCCCCCGCCCCATACCTTTTGCAAGGACTGTCACTCCAGAGTGATAGTTCTGTACATGTTGAAATAGTCATCTTGCTAAATCCATTGGATGAATCTTGCAACTTGATCCAGGAACATCTGCAAAAAATGAAGGAAAGATTAACTCTTTGCCATTGCAAAAAACCAAAAAGCTGCCCTTCTATTTGCTTTTTAATAATATTCTGCAACTTTTAATATTAAAAAAATCATTATCAAAGGAGATTAGTGTTCTCCCCAAAACAACACTGATACATTTTATAAGGACTATAAATAAACCTACTTAAATTATTATAAAACTACTTTTGTATTTATAAATGCTAAAGGTTTAAGTTGAAGGTTGTCCACTAATATATCGTCTACTAAGAAGTGAATTTTTTTTTTAAGTGCCTCAAATACACATAGCACTTTCCTCTTAGTTAACTGTAATGTCCCTCTCTTGAACAGATTACAACTTAAACAGGGCATGTATTTATTTAGGTTCTTATTCTGTCACTCTGGGACTATTTGTGGAGTAAAGTACTAAGTGTGTGTAAAGTTGGGCAGCCTTGGGGCCTTGGAAATTTAAATTAGTGCTGACAGACAAGCTGGCATCTTACATTAATAAGGCAGATATTTCAAACATTTGTTAACTTTAGTATGATTCTTGTGCCATTGAAAATGGAAGGAAATGTTCTCTCATTTGAGAATTGCTATTGCTGAACCTCCTTCAGTGGTGCAAAGACATTATAAACAGCCTTTCATCTTGGCAGGGGGTTAGACTTGTGGTCCCTTTTAACCCTATGATTCTATGATTCTCAAAGGCATTTACTGTCACAATCCATTTCTCAAAGAACATGTTGCTACCGTTATCCTTCCACACTTGGCTGCTATATGTGAATGTAATGGGCCTGATTCTCTTATACATTAAGGCCACTTTACATTGCCAGAGCAGTGTAAAGGGGTCTTCAAGTGGAAGTAAAATATACTTAAGCACACTTTAAGGCCCTTCACACAACTAGAGCTGTGTAAAGTGGCCTTGCAGTGAGAATCATGCCCAACGTTCTTCAAATGGACCTGTTTCCATCTTCACCTTCTAATAATGTCTAAATAATATTGTAGTTGATTCTATTTACTGAATTTACTTGAAGGACTCCCGTCAATAGCCCCCTCTATCCAGATGGCTACCGTCTGTCCGTTTTATAACAAGTTCCTAGCTGCATAGAAACAGAGCTATCTTGCTGATAACATCTGTGCTTTGTAATCGTCTATACCTGTTAAAGTAAGACTTCTCCAGTAGAAGACTTTTCATCCAGCACTTGTCATTAGGGTGGCAGCTGCTCCTGCTTTCTAGTGTCTTAGCCTATTTTTTGCTTTCCGTTCTATAGTGAAAGCAACATCATGTCTCTACTGGTGAAAAAGGGAGACAGGCAGAGAACAGCAACAGAAGTGCATTTTTTAATGTCAGATGTCTAAAGGGAACAGAAAAAGGATGTGCAAGGATCCATATGGGGAATTACCTGGAGAAGAAATTGAGCTGTGCCACAGGGAAGATTAAATGGATTATATCAGGAATGCAGTAGGAAGTCTGTCGAGTTGGCCTCTTGTGTGGAACTGGTTCCACCAGCAGGTAGTGTCTGCACTGATAGCAGCATAGTTCACGCTGAAGCAAAGACCACATGACAGGTGAGTTTGAGAGAGATAGGAGGTCTGCTACCCTGATTTGCTGTTTAGCCCTCTCAGGGAAAAGGACACCCATGTAAGCCATAAGAAAGGTTAGGGAATGGTGCTCACCTCATAATTTAAATGTCATCTCGTTCTCTATTTACCCTTTCCTTTTTCTTAGTGCCGGCTTTCTGCAAATGCTACTTCCCAGAAACTGCAAGGGAAACAAAAATAAAAGCAACTCGTTTTTTAAAGACTTCTTATCTGTAGCTTTAGGTTAGAAAAATGTTGTTTGTTCAACAAATGCATGCTACTTACTGCCTTTTGTTTAGACCAGTTGAGAACTGGTAGTGTTGTGAAACCCATAGCTGCTTTGTATTTTCCATACATTTTTGCTACATATTAGAAAGCAAATTTCAAATGTA